TCCACACTGCCAACTCCTTCGCCTATTTTATGGCGAGTAGATGTATTTAAGTAAGCACAAATTGTGACTGCGTGAGTGCATGTTTAAGGCAGATGGGACAGGAGTGGCATAATTAGTGGAGAGGCATTGGAAAGTGTAAGATGCTAGTCAAATGGACGAAGAAAGATATTAGGCAGAGAATGCCAGAAAAAAACCATTTCGACAGCAGGATAAGGACACATTTCACCATTCGAATATACTTGTGCACAATTTCGCAGAAAGTTGGCTAGGAATTATTTGCCTTCCCCACAGAAAGTAACCATTCCTCGTTGACCTGTGTGTTGAGATGTTAGCCGACAGTACTGTATCATATCATTTCAAACAGTAGCGTAAATTAAGAGACAAAGCAAATCCTATTGCGCAAATTCTAAATGATCCCTAATTTACGTCGACATTTTATGACTAGGTATGCGTTTTTCGACCATTTTTTCCAGGATGTTGCCCACGCATCCCACGAAGTTGCGGTTTAAACATTTACTGTAGAGATAATCGTATTAAATGTCAATCAGAAAAGTTCACTCTAATTACGTAGTCGAATTTCCCAGATAACCATAACACGCCGAGCACGCCCTAACACACCTCTCAATACGGATGGCGTGGGAACGATGAGTGTTAATAGCCCCTGCATCACTCATAAACCCTGTAACTTCGCATATTCTCAACTTCTATGTAACCGTTTTGGCCTGATGCCGAGTTACCGAAAACATGTGTTTGCCAAATTGACTTTTCATTTCATTAAATACCCGCACCTACTGTAACAGAAGTGGCATATATGGAGTTCTCTGCATAAAAGGTACAAATGTCCCAGGTTTATGTTTCACCTTCTAATCTCTTTCCACTCCACACCGACAGTCTGAAGCCGCCAAAGACCTACCGCATGTTAAATATACATAAATAACTTGTTTTATATACCACCTCTATTGTGCTTTCGTAGTAGGTAAAAATAGATTTTCGAGTGAGTTTTAGAACAAGTAGGCAGACACTGTGTAGTTTTCATTTTCTTCTTATAAAATGGACGGTTTAGTATGAAAAACTGCTATCGAGCGCTGAAACGAGCTCTATCTTTCCTAAAAAAGGTCAAATAAACGTGATTTAATTGGTGTTTAAGAGGAAAAAATATGCCGCTAATGGGAAGTTAAATATGCGGTTCGGACAGGACAGTACGGCAGGTAGGAGTATAATAGGAGATTTGTAACGGTTCCCGTCAAGGTTGAATTCCTAATCGGGGTGAGGCTCTTCGCTGTCGATGCGATGCTAATATTGTCAGGTTGACGGCCGACAAAACCGTCAAGGTGGCGAGACAGGAGACACCCAACCCGGTCGGTCACAGTTCACATAGAGTTCAGACGATGGAGCTATCTCTAAGGCTGTGGGGACTATCAGAGTGCGTGGAGATGCTACTATGGTACTTGTTTACCGACCGACCAAACGATCATGTTGATTTTCATAGGGGTCGAAATCTCAGAGGCTAGAACGGACCCCTCATGAGTGTCGGTAATTAGCGAAACGGAGGCGGCTTAGGTCGTACACGTCGACCTGGCCCCGCTACTTCTTTGAGATGGTGTTCTGTGAAGGACATGATGCATGGACTGAAAAATAGAAAAAATCGCAATTGATGATGAAATATCCCATAAAACGAAACCATACACAGGGAAGGAGATGTGAGCGTACACGGTAATTTGGCGTCGGCGGCGTTCTAAATCCCTGATGGCCCTTTCTCAGTGTCATACAGAAAGTGTTCGGGAAGGATGAAGGAAATAAAAGTTTAATCGATTCAGTATTCACCGATTACTGTAAATGCAACCCTTGACAAGAAAGTTTAAGAAAGGAATTTTTCCTGAAAAGGCGCAAAATATAAAACGCGCGGCAAAAGTATTTACGCCAGCTATATGTACAAATATGTAGCCTG